CGCTTCCTCAATAAATCTTCGTTTTCGACATTTCAGTAAAAAAAAAAAAAATCAGATCTCATCACATCACTCTCTCTCCGCTTCGATTCCAATCTTCTCTCGACTGTCTTCCTCAAAGGTACGTTTTCGAATCGCTTCTCATCCTCTCCGAAGCATCAATTCCAAAAAAAAATTAGGGTTTAGGTATTTCACTTTACCATTTCGTTTACGAATCTCTCTCTATGCTCAAACCTCCTTCAGTTTCTCCTCTCGTCGTTTTTTTGATCACCATGCCGTTCTCTTGCGTTTTCCTCAGGTTCCTCCATCACTTTATGCTTCACAAGCGAGCTAGTGAATCATCATCATCATCATCATCTGTTGCTGCTAACGAGATCACCAGCTCCGATTTACCTTCCTCTTCCTCTTCGCCGGTTAAGAGACGCCGCATCGAGATCACTGAGAACTCTGTAGCTTCTGGCAACGACATGGCTTTCGGTAATTCGAATCGTCAGGAGATTGATGAAGATCTGCACAGTAGGCAGCTCGCTGTGTACGGGCGTGAGACCATGAGGCGTCTTTTTGCTTCTAACGTTCTCATCTCGGGGATGCACGGCCTTGGCGCGGAGATTGGTATACGCTTTTCTTTTTGATTATTGTATCGTTGATTTGATCTCCTGATTTGATTTGTTGGTGTTTCTCAGCGAAGAATCTGATTCTTGCTGGTGTGAAGTCTGTGACACTGCATGATGAGAGAGTGGTGGAGCTATGGGATTTATCTAGCAACTTTGTTTTCTCTGAGGATGATGTTGGCAAGAATAGGGCGGATGCTTCTGTCAACAAGTTGCAGGATCTTAACAATGCTGTTGTTGTCTCTAGCTTGACCACAACCTTAACCAAAGAGCATCTTTCTGGTTTCCAGGTATGTAGTCTAACTCGTTTTGCTTTCTATTGGTTCTATTTGGTCTGCTTCTTGAGTTATGATAACGTTTGGGACTGTATTGATTCTGTTGTTTATACTTATTGGTATGTATCTGTGGTTCTTGTTGATTGGTTCACGCTGATTCGTCTACTTTCTTGTGAAACAGGTTGTTGTTTTCTCTGACATAAGCTTGGAAAAAGCGGTCCAGTTTAATGATTATTGTCACAGCCATCAGCCTCCTATCGCCTTTGTCAAGGCTGATGTCAGGGGTCTTTTTGGCTCCGTCTTTTGTGATTTTGGGCCTGAATTTACAGTTCTAGATGTTGATGGAGAGGAACCACACACAGGCATCATTGCCTCCATCTCTAATGAGAATCAGGCATTTATCTCCTGTGTTGACGATGAGAGACTTGAATTTCAAGATGGGGACCTTGTCGTTTTCTCTGAGGTTGAGGGTATGACGGAACTGAATGATGGGAAACCAAGGAAGATAAAAAGTGCACGGCCATATTCATTCAGTCTTGAAGAGGACACGACAGGCTATGGAACATATGTGAAGGGTGGTATTGTCACTCAGGTGAAACAGCCAAAGTTGCTGAATTTCAAGCCTTTGAGGGAAGCTCTTAAAGAGCCAGGGGATTTTCTGTTTAGTGATTTCGCTAAGTTTGATCGTCCTCCACTCCTTCACTTAGCATTCCAGGCACTTGATAGGTTTACATCTGAAGCTGGTAGATTTCCTGTTGCTGGCTCAGAAGAGGACGCTCAGCAGCTTATATCTATTGCCACGGCTATCAATACGGGGCAGGGTGATTTGAAGGTGGAGAATGTCGACCATAAACTTCTACGACACTTTGCCTTTGGAGCCAAGGCTGTCCTGAATCCCATGGCTGCAATGTTTGGCGGTATTGTTGGACAGGAGGTTGTCAAAGCTTGCTCTGGAAAATTCCATCCCCTCTTTCAGGTGATATTTCTTTTTTCATATACTTGTCAAGCCTTCATCCTAATGTTAAAACCTTAAAAAGTAGTTTAAAGTGTCTCAGTAGTTTCTTAATAAATTCAATGATAAATGAATATTAACTTATACGCATCTTTACTCTTTTTGATACCTATTGTTTCTAGTTTCCTACTGGCACCTGATGCTGAACTTCTTATTTCTTTTATCAGTTTTTCTACTTCGATTCAGTGGAGTCACTGCCCTCTGAACCTCTGGATTCTAGTGACGTTGCACCAAGGAATAGCCGGTACGATGCCCAAATATCCGTATTTGGGGCCAAGTTCCAGCAGAAACTCGAAGATGCTAAAGTTTTCACAGTAGGGTCTGGTGCTCTTGGCTGCGAGTTCTTGAAAAATATGGCTCTGATGGGAGTTTCATGTGGAGACCAAGGGAAGCTAACAGTAACTGATGATGATATAATCGAGAAGAGTAACCTCAGTCGTCAATTTCTGTTCCGTGACTGGAACATTGGACAAGCTAAATCAACGGTTGCTGCTTCCGCTGCTGCAGCTATAAACCCCAAGTTCAACATTGAGGCGCTGCAAAACCGTGTCGGTGCTGAGACAGAGAATGTATTTGACGATGCCTTCTGGGAGAACTTAACTGTTGTCGTCAATGCATTGGATAATGTCAATGCGAGGCTCTATGTTGATTCGAGGTGCTTGTACTTCCAGAAGCCTCTTCTCGAGTCTGGTACTCTTGGTGCAAAATGCAACACACAGATGGTTATTCCGCATCTAACTGAAAATTACGGTGCCTCAAGGGATCCACCAGAGAAGCAGGCCCCCATGTGTACAGTGCACTCGTTTCCACATAACATTGATCACTGTTTAACTTGGGCTCGCTCGGAGTTTGAGGGTCTGCTTGAGAAGACTCCTGCTGAAGTAAATGCCTATCTTTCCAGCCCTGTTGAGTACACTAACTCAATGATGAGCGCTGGCGATGCTCAGGCAAGGGACACATTGGAGAGGATTGTTGAGTGTCTTGACAAGGAGAAGTGTGAGGACTTCCAAGACTGCTTAACCTGGGCTCGACTCAGGTACTGATATACTCTTAATTAGTACAAGTCGTACGTAGGTTCAGAGTAGCCTAGTGGTTACGAAGGATTGAAAGATTTTTTAACCTGTGATTCAGAGTTGCTTAAACGGAAAATGAGTAGGAAATTATAAATAAAGTTTAAATAGCGTTTTCAGGAGGTAAGAATTCTTTATGGAGTCTCATTAATGTGTTTGTATTTCACGTGACCAGGTTTGAGGATTACTTTGTTAACCGAGTCAAGCAATTGATATACACATTTCCTGAAGATGCTGCGACAAGTACCGGAGCTCCATTCTGGTCTGCTCCAAAAAGATTCCCGCGTCCGCTCCAGTACTCCTCTTCCGACCCAAGCCTCCTCAACTTCATCACGGCCACTGCTATTTTAAGAGCAGAGACATTTGGGATCCCTGTGCCTGAGTGGACCAAAAACCCAGAGGCAGCAGCTGAAGCTATTGATAGAGTGATAGTCCCAGACTTTGAGCCAAGGAAAGATGCAAAGATTGTTACAGATGAGAAAGCCACCACTTTAACCACTGCTTCGGTGGACGATGCTGCAGTCATCAACGACCTCATTGCTAAGCTCGAGAAGTGTAGGCATAACTTGTCTCCAGATTTTAGGATGAAACCAATTCAGTTCGAAAAGGTAATTAAATATTCTCTGATTTGACTCTTGAATGAAATCTAATTGATAGCAAAGGTTGAATCTTAACCAAGGAGTGTTGTTATTTTTTTGAATCCTAGGATGATGATACAAACTATCACATGGATGTGATAGCGGGTCTAGCCAACATGAGGGCGAGAAACTACAGCATACCTGAAGTCGACAAGCTGAAAGCAAAGTTCATTGCAGGGAGAATCATCCCAGCCATTGCGACCTCAACAGCCATGGCCACTGGTCTGGTCTGCCTCGAGCTCTACAAGGTCCTTGATGGAGGACACAAAGTGGAAGCCTACAGAAACACATTTGCCAACCTGGCGCTTCCACTCTTCTCCATGGCTGAACCGGTTCCGCCAAAGGTGGTGAAGCACCGAGACATGGCTTGGACCGTTTGGGACAGATGGGTTCTAAAAGGAAACCCAACGCTGCGTGAGGTGTTGCAGTGGCTGGAGGACAAAGGTCTTAACGCGTACAGCATCTCTTGTGGAAGCTGTCTCCTGTTCAACAGCATGTTCCCGAGGCACAAGGAGAGGATGGACAAGAAAGTGGTTGATCTAGCTCGAGATATCGCTAAAGTGGAGTTGCCGCCTTACCGTCGCCATCTTGATGTAGTTGTGGCTTGTGAGGATGATGATGACAATGATGTCGATATTCCTCTCGTCTCCATCTATTTCAGGTGAGAAATTTATCAAATAAACAGAGGAGCCGAAGATGAAAGTCTTTTGCAAGAGACAAATGTGGGTTCTGTTTCCTTAAAATGTTTTTCTTTGTTTTTTTTCCGTGTACATTGCTGGTATGGGTTTTACCCAGACGTCACCCTCTGAACATGTTTCTTATCAAAACCTGATTCTTCGTCTTCATTGGTTCTGAAATTCGACTATGTTCATTTACATCAACGTAATCCGCAAATAGGGTAAATGAAAAGAATTCCAGTATTTGGATAAAAACTACTATTATAAGAAAAAACAAAACAATGACTCAAGTCCTTCACCTCGTGCCTTGTCTTATCTCTAACGCCAAGTGAAAGAAAAAAACGACCAAAACCACAATGAACATGTAAAGACCTTGAGCTAAAGCAATGACTCAGTTGTTTTTTTTTGTTTACAAGAAAATTGGCCTTGCACTAGCTACCTTGACAACTGGACCTTTCTGTTCCTTGTGGATACTATCACACGCATTTAAAAGACCGTAACAGGTACATGTTTGCTTAGTTAGATTGATCCTACTGCTATAAGAGCAAGAATTAAAATTCCTAAATATATTTTTCCTAAGTAGCAATGAAAGAAGAATATGAAACTGTTAAGTTAATGAAAAGAAAACTCATCCAGACATTTGGGTGAAGCTGAAAACATAGAAATAAATAAAATAAAAACAAAACACAAGTAATATATTCGAATGAGAGACTTGATGCTTTAAATCATAACACTTAGACATTTCACATAGGTAAATTTCCCACCAGTCAAAACCTGATCACACCACTCAACTGTATACCGCATATCATTTACATAACTTCTTTTAAACGAAATCACTGCACACCAAATCTTCTGTGGATCCTTTTTTGTACGAAAATACAAAGCCAGATTTCGACCATAACGCACAGTCTCTGTCCAACATGGGCGTCTCATCTGCTCGGCCAAAAGCGAGTAACGCAAACATGTAAACTCTTCCCAGCGACTCTCCTTTGGATCATACCTGTATAAACACTTCATATATCTTTGGTAGTAGTACAATACGTCATCAAGGACGCACGCACCACCAACATACCACTTCTTAGAACTAAGTACGTCATCCTTTTCCCATTTATTTTCCTTTGGCTCGTAAACAGAGCTTTTACCACGATCATGCCTTCTCATGTAAATCTTATTAGCCATCACCGCCATATAACCATAATGCCACTTCTCATCTGGTGTAGTGTCTGGTATTATCACCCGAGGCTCCCACATTTGTGTTTTTGTATTAAACACAACCATCATCAACTCTGACTTCATACTGCAGTATCCAACTACGTACACTTTCCCGTCAAGAAAGTCAGCACATGTATCAGTCATGGCTACAGGCATGTTGGGGAGTGGTTGCACCGTGTGCGATCTGCAGTCGATCCTGAACGCCCTCAATGAAGTTAGGGTTTCATTATCATCCCTCCCACCAAACCCATATATCACTGAACCCACCGTAACAAAGCTTTCACCTTTAGGCAAATCCAAAAGCGAAGAGATATGGACCAAGTGGCGGTTGCCGTCGGCGTTCTGGCGAAGAATATACAAACGGTCATTAGGGGCCTTACGGCTACTGAGTATAGTATATAGACAGGTCTCGGTGCACCTCAACAGAGATCTTCTTGAGTATATCTCATGTGACTTAATAAGTGACCAGAACTGCTTGGAAGCGAGGGAGAGAGCTGGATAGTCTTGTCTTGGTACACGCGCTAAGATGTCAACCATGACGTCGTCGGGAAGTGACGTAATCAGAGATGGTGGTTGCGAGGATTGCTCGTTCTTACTTTTGGAAGCCATCTCTAGATCAGCAACCACCCAATTTTGACGACCCTAATCTTTAACGATAGGAAGAGAGAGAGAGAGAGCAGCGGAAATCCCAAAACCTTAATCTTCAAGAGATGACGACTGAGTTTATTGACAATCCTAATTATATTATAGCTTTTATACTGTTTTAATTTAATTACTTATTTATTTTTGATACTCTGTTATCTTTTTCTTTGTAATCAAAAGTTTGTTAATAGCATTATTATTTTCCAGGGATTTGTTTTTTTTTTTTCTGAAAACAAATTTACTTAATTTTCACCGACTAAATTAAAATTCTAAGATTTGTTTCTTATAACCACATATTTGCATAATTTTGATTGAGTTAACTAGTTATTTCTAATTTGTTTCTTCTTACAGAATATGTTTGTGAGTTATGATAGATTTATAGGCTTATTTGTTGTCTAACCAATTTTTAAATTTAAATTAAATATATGACACTGATTTTGATATTATTAATGAATAATAAGATCTTTATTATATTATTAATTTAATTACTTATTTATTTTTGATACTCTGTTATCTTTTTCTTTGTAATCAAAAGTTTGTTCATAGTAATAGCATTATTATTTTCCAGGATTTGTCTTTTTTTTTCTGAAAACAAATTAACTTAATTTTCACTGACTAAATAAAAATTCTAAGATTTTTTTTCTTATAACCACATATTTGCATAATTTTGATTGAGCTAACTAGGTATTTCTAATTTGTTTCTTCTTACATAATATTTTTGTGAGTTATGATAGAGTTATAGGCTTATTTGTTGTCTAACCAATTTTTGTATTTAAATTAAATCTATGACATTGATTTTGATATTATTAATAAATTAATAAGATCTTTATTGTATTATTAATTTAATTACTTATTTATTTTTGATACTCTGTTATGTTTTTCTTTGTAATCAAAAGTTTGTTCATAGTAATAGCATTATTGTTTTCCAGGGATTTGTTTTTTTTTTCTAAAAGCAAATTTACTTAATTTTCACCGACTAAATTAAACTTCTACGATTTGTTTCTTATAACCACATATTTGCATAATTTTGATTGATTTAACTAGTTATTTCTAATTTTTTTCTTCTTACAGAATATGTTTTTTAGTTATGATAGATTTATAGGCTTATTTGCTGTCTAACCAATCTTATAACCACATATTTGCATAATTTTGATTGAGTTAACTAGTTATTTCTAATTTGTTTCTTCTTACAGAATATGTTTGTTAGTTATGATAGATTTATAGGCTTATTTGCTGTCTAATCAATTTTTGAATTTAAATTAAATATATGACATTGATTTTGACATTATTAATAAATTAATAGATATATGTATATATATATAATTATAAAAACTATAACTAAAAATCAAATAATTCTAATTAAAATAAAGAATTTCTTCATTTTTATAAATTTAAAATGATTGCATAATATAATTTTAAAGATAAAATTATTAAGTTTATAAAATGTTATCCTATTAATTATTTTTAATATTTTAAAAATAATGGACACAATATCTATCTGTTACAATTAGGCTTGGGCATTTTACCCGGATCCGAAGACCCGAACCGGAACTGACCCGAAAATACATGATCGGATTCAGGTTCGGGTCAATGCTAAAGTACCTATTGGGTCCTTTTTATTTGGACCCACGGGTCTCGGATCGGGTCCGGGTCCTACACGAGACCCGTTCGGGTACCCGTAGTACCCGTAAATTATTGCATATATAAGATATATTTAGGTGTTTGGGTATATTTTTGGTATTTCAGGTATTTTTAAAATTTTCGAGTTTGGGTTTTCGGGTATAATTTTAGGTTTCAGGTAAAATTTTAGATTGTCAAAAAATATAATTCGGCTATTTGGGTAAAATGGGTAAAATTTCGTGTATTTTTTGGGTTTTTGGATCTGATTTTTGATAATTTTTTGGTATTTGGGCGGTTTTTCGTGTATTTTTCGGGTTTTCGAGTTTATTTTGAGTAGTCGGGTCCTTTTCGGATCCTAAATACCCGAACTAACCCGGATTCGAATATACCCGAAAATTATGGGTAATTTACGGATAATGAAATTATAGACCCAAATCGATTCGGACCGGACAAGACCCGATCCGGAACTTACCCGAAAAATTATAGGTACCTATATGGGTCTAAATATTCAGGACCCGAAGGATCCGGACCCGAAAAGACCTGACTCGAAACCGACCCGAAAATTACAAGTACCTATATGGGTCCAAATTTTCAGGACCCAAAAGACTCGAACATGACAAGACCCGACCCGAGGACCTGGATACCCAGGCCTAGTTTGTAATATTGATAATCAAAAGAAATTTTTCGATGGAGAGAAGTATGATTTCTGGAATATTAAGATGACAACCCTTCTCAAGACTAGGAAATTATGGTCTGTGGTTGAAGAAAGAGTGGGAGCCTCACCAACACAAGTGGATGAAACCCCCTGAGACAGTAAGGGTAAGATCGCGTAAAGAAGAAGCGATGGTGAACGATACAATGGATTTTCAAATTCTGCAAACTGTCGTATCGGATGATATCTTCTCTCAGATTGCAGCAACAACAACATCTAAAGAGGCATGGGATGCATTGAAGGCAGAGTAGAACTCCTCAAATCCGTTTGATTCGACTTCAAACGTTGCGAATGGAATATGAAAATCTGAAGATGAATGAGAATGAAGACATTAAAATCTTCACAGATAAGTTAGTTGATTTGACAAATAAATTAACTTATCATGGAGAACAAAAGTCAGACATCCAACTCATACAAAATATACTCATCTCTCTCCCAGCCAAGTTCGATAGCATAGTCAGTGTATTGGAGCAAACAAGCAATTTGACTTCAACAAAGATGGCAGATTTGATCGGAATTTTGAAGGCTCATGAAGCACAGTTGGCTGTAAGAGAAGAAAGCACAAGTGAAGGAGCATTCAATGCTCGTGCTAAACAGAAAAATTCTAGTGTCAAACAAGACAACTCAAAACGCAGTGGAGGCAAGAAGTGGTGTGGTTTCTGCAAGAAGAACAATCACAATGAGAGTGAGTGTTTTAGGAAACCGAAAAAAGGATGATCCTAAGAAGGATTACAAAAGTAACAAGGAATGTTACAATTATGAAAAGTTAGGTCATTTTGCAAATCATTGCTATTTAAAGAAAAAGGAGAAAGCACATTTAAGTCTAGAGGAAGAAGACGTTAATGAAGACCATATGTTGGTAAATGCGAGTTAAGCAATAACCATGATGGAAGACGTATGGTAAGTAGACAATGGAGCAACTAATCATATGACAAAGGAGGATAATTACTTCTCAAGACTTGACAAGAGTGTCAAGGTTCCGATAAAAATTGGAAATGGAAGCATAGTCATGATAGCTGATATACCATGGTTTTGACCCACTTTTAGCCATGGTATTGATATGTTTTTATAATATATATATATATATGTTTTGGAGTCTATTAAGTATGTTTTCAGGTTCAGGAGCATTTTGGAGTAAAGTGATGATTTAGGTGCCCTTATAGAGCTTAAATGAGAGTTTTCCGAGATGACTATGAAGATCAGACAATAAGGTCGATATCCAGATATACATATCGATCGAAACACATCCTGTGTAATCGATCGATGACACTTCCACAGAAGATGAAGTCGAGATACTCCATCGATCTATGTAAGCCATGTACCATCGATCAATATGAAGCATGAAGAACAAGTCTAACTTGGCCGACTTGAAGCCCAAGTTTTCCCAATATTACAAGATTTCCCCTGACAAGTTTTTAACCTAATTGAACTCATATTTATAGTTATGCCTATGTGTTTTGGCAAAGCATGCTTTGAGTGTTTTGTATGCTTTTTATTGTTTTGTGCTTTTGATACTATTTTATACTTAGCAATAAAGTATTCTTTTAATCTTAATTCTCAAAGGTTATAGAATTCTAGATTTAGAAGAAACACACAAAGAGATTTGTTGTTCCAAAGAACCAAAAGTTCAATATTCTAATCTTATGAATTTCTATTATTATCTTGCTGCTATGAATCACTTAGCTATGTCTCAGTAGATTCCCTTGTTAGATTTAGGGTTCAAATAGTTATGAGGGATTAGCCCCAACTATGGAATGTTAAGTTGTGATATTCATTATCCAGATGAACCCTAATGCTTACTCTAGAGTAGCTAACTAGAGTATGAACATGGAATGATATAACTTGTTAATCATCATCCTGAAATCATTTGGCATAAGCTTAGATCCTCTAGGGATGTGCGAGAGCCGGTCTATGATCTTGGTGAACACATTTTCGATTTGATCTTATGCTATATCGATCAATACTTCTATAGAGTAATCGATCGACGGTAACTTATATCGTCCGATATGGCGATCATACCATCGGTCGATATTGCCGGCAGCTAGATCAATGGATGAGTCTATATAGCGACAGCTATTGGATCTGTCTAAGAATTGAAGTTCTTATATATCTTGCAAGCAAGTTACTAAAACATCTGTAGCATTATAATCCTGATTATCTGAATAACAACCTTGAATCTAACTATATTCTTTATTGTTCAAAACCTAAACCTATTCTCTTGAGCAACTTATCATTGCTCACAACTGCAATTTACTATTTTAAACTGAATCAACCTAGCATAATCACTTAGGATTACATCTTTTGTGTTCCTCAGTTCCCTGTGGATTCGATCCCTAAGTACAACAACTGAACCTCTTATTTGAGAGAGTAATTCACTCTTTAAGGTTAAATATTTGAGGGATATCAAATTAGGCGCCGTTGCCGGGGAACTTTGATAGCCATTAGATTTAATCTGATTAGGTCTAGGTTATTTTCTTTTTATTGCTTAATCATCTTCTGACGCAAAAAAAAAAAAAAATTCTTGTCTTTTTCAGGTACATGCCCAGCAGTACTAGAAGCAACAAGGACAACCAACTTGTGTACTCAGAAGACCCCCACAGTTTGGAACGTAGCATCCGGAAAGACTTACGTTCCG